GGGTCGTCTGCAGAATCCCAGTAACCTTTGCTACCTCAATGCTTGTGCACAGGTGTTTGCGTGGACAGACCAGCTGGTTGATCGTGCTGCTTGCTGCTACGGCACAGCGAAAGCGGCCATCAAGCCGGTGCTTGTTCCAGGCAAGCCCACGCTTCCGCAGAGTCTTGCATGGCACGTGATTCTTGGGGGCTGGCAAGATGTCAACAGACAACACGATGCCTGTCAGTTCATGCTGCATCTGCTCTGCCAAACAAAGCCAGCCGCATATGCTGGCGAGTGGCAGGCAAGGCTCACAGGTCCTGATGCAGTTGTGGATGCAGGTGATCTCGCGGCGCCTGTCCTTCTTGATCTGGCAGGTGAGACAATCCCAGATCTCCTCATAAAGTGGCATGAGCAACATACCATACATGCGTTGTGTCATCACTCAGGTGTTGTTCTGTTGCAGCTTAAGAGGTACAGGCATGAGGGGTCTGGGCCTGTCAAAGACCAGTCAGTTGTCAGGTGGCAGCCGGGGGAGCGTGTCGCCGTGCCCGCCTTTAGTGATTCTACGGGGACACAGATCCGCTTTGAGTACTTTCGCATAGTATGGGTGCTGTGTCATGTTGGACTGCATGCCGAAACAGGACACTATCAGGCAGTGGTGTGCAAACCCAATGCGGATGTAGGGGCAGAAGCACTCACATCATGGCAGGGCTGGGTCCTCAATGATAATTGTAGGCCTAGGCTCCTCGCGGCTCGCGATGCCAATATGCTTGAGCGCAACTGCTACCTTTTTGGGCTGGTCTAGGACCCAGGGCAGCCATGATGCGAGACAGGGGTTACACAAGCACCTTCAGTCGAAGCTGGGTGCCGGCGCGCGCAAAATCCCACTTCGACTTGTTCGTTGCATGCGCTTGCTTTTCTTGCACTGTACAGTTCGTTAATGTTCCGTGGCATGTTGGTCTGTGCGCGAGCAGTGTCCGTCACCAGCCGTGCATGACTTCATTGCCTTTGTAGTTTTGTGGGTCGAAGCAGCCTAGATGCCACTGCCTTTCCGCGTAGCCCTTGTTGAGGGCTAGTATTTAGCTGCTGGCCACGACCTCAGCATTTACAATCGTGTCTCCTGCCCGCCTGTGCTTTTCCGCTGCGCATCTGTTGTGACCACACATGTTTTGCTAGACTGCAAGCTGTCGCTGTGTTAATGCTCCATTCTCTCAAGTTCAGCACGGCCAATGAGTGTGCAATAGCTGTGCGCCACAGGCATGGCTACGCAGGGCTGTGCCGTTGTGCGTGTGCCGATTCCTGCACAGTTGTTTCAAGAAGCGAGTGTCTGCTCCTGACGGCTTTTCGACTGCTGAAAGAGGAGGAGGCAGTCCAGCCCGTCTCGAGTGCGCTGTCTATGGCTCAGCGCAATGACATCATGGCGGCAGCTCGCGTGGACTTGAGCCCGGTACAGTTTGAGCGGCTCGCGATCTACGCCGACACTCTGTGTGTGCACATACCTGGCGTACCTGGTGCCAGTCTGCCACCCCCCGTGGAAGCAGACCAGGGTCAGGGCAGCCAGGCGAATCAGTTGGCTTCGCTGCTCTTGCAAGAACATACTGGCTCGCTATGGGGTGCTGCTCGGCTTGTAGCTTCTCACCTCAACTTCAAGGCCGAACGACGCCTGAGCACTAACTCTTTTCAGTGCGTGGTTCGGCTGGGAGCTTATGGGCATCACTCTTTCTGTGGTCTGACGCATATGACAGCTACGCACCGATCCGTCTGTGCACTGCTCAATGGCCTAGTTCGCAAGCTGCACCCTGAACATCAATGGACAAGCCTGGTTGTCTCTCTTAACAGTCAGGTTGGGCCGCATGTTGATGGGCAGAATGCGCGTATGCCTACACTTTTAGTAGGTCTGAGTCACTACGCTGGTGGACAGCTCTGGGTCCAGAATGAGGGTGGCAAGGACTTTGAGGAGTTTGGCGAGCGCACCTTTTGCCGGGAGATGTCTTTTCCACGAGCATGTGCTGTTTGCTATTTCCGGCCGCGACCACCCTACACGGTGTAAGGCCCTGGACGGATGGTGACAGGGTGGTGCTTGCAGCTTTCTCCATCGGTCAGCATAGGTTTCTCTCGCCCGAGGAGCGCGGCGCTCTGTTGGAGCTAGGGTTCCAGTTGCCGTCGAGTTGAAGCTCATGCCG